GCGGGGGTTCGACCTGGAACTTTTTTCAGGGGCGCAAAAAACCCTCAAATCTGGCTTCAGCGGTTAGGCCCTTCATGGAACTCTCGTCGATCGCATTGAGCCACGTAGAGGCGGAGTTAACCGCCGTTTGCGAAGGCATGAAGGAGTGCATTTGGCTTGTCTGTGCTTGTGAAGCATGTGTACCGGAAAGAGTTGGAAGTGCCGGTTGTTCAATCAGACTCTCGAGCCGCGATCAACATCAGTTCGATGGTTGGTCTTCTGAGGAGAGTCAGGCACACCGATATTCGCTTGTGTTGGGTCTAGAACGCGTTAAGAGAGAACAAGGCTGAGCTGGAGTGGGTTTCCGGAGCCTTGAACCCGGCCGACATCTTTACCAAAAGCACGATCCAGAGGTCGAGTTACTGCAATCATTTGGAAGTGTTGGGTATTGTTGAGAGGAGACCCCCCTGGGGATCCTGATGCGGTCGATTGGGACATGGAGAGTGTAGCGGCAATCCTTGGTAAAAAACCAGATGTGCCAGCGTTGGTTGATCTTGACTTGAAGTTTCTGGAATTGAAACTTGAGAAGTTGTGTTGGTTGGTTGTTGAGTACTGTACGAGTCCGGAGTCGAAACTTGGTCGAGCTTGTGACTTGATTAAGGGTGAGAAGCTTTGCCGTGATACGTAGAATGGTCTCTTGGACGAGACTATTGCTTTGATTCGTGGACGCCTTGTACAGGTGGATGTGTGTGGCAGTTTCTGAACCGGAAGCATGAGGGCTTTATGGACCGCCTCAAGAAGGTGTGGGGGATTCAGCGGAAGCTTTGGAAAGGCTTTGAGGCCTTAGTTTCTCCTTGTCCAACCTCCCGGAAGGCTGCCACAGCCCCTATCTTGCTATTGAGTGGCCGAAGACGTGCCAGTACTGGCGCTGGAAGACAACAAAGAAAACAGAGGCCAATCACGCGAGGCCCATTTACAGCGTGATTGTGCATGGTTGCTCAGTTGGCATGGTTGGGGAAGATGAGCTTCCGATCAAGAAGCAGTGGAGTCGATACGGATCTGGAAGTTCTGGCATAAACTCTGTCTGAGTTCGTCTGCGATGGTCGTCGCCAGCGCAGCAACAAGTTTGACCTCAAGGAGACACAGCATTATCCACCTGAGATGTGCCGTCGTTTGCTTGGTTGTCGTCCTTGAGCAAAAACTTTTCGCACGCGCGTCGCAGCCTTCTGTTTGCCCAGGTTGTGTGTGTGTGCCCAATTAGTTTTGGTTTGGCCTGTAGCTAGACGCAATGGCCAGCAGCTTTGAGTATGAGGGGGAACTCCTTTTGTTCGTCCTCAACATCATGGTTACTTCTTTGATCGGGCTTCTCTTTGTTGTCTGTTGCCGCAGGGAGAAGATCGTTGTTGTCCGAGAGACGTCTGGAACCCCTGACGGAATGGATGATCTTGGGCTTCATCGGGATGATCCTCGCAATGTGAGAGATGGCTGTTGGATCGACTTTGAGATCCGCACTTTTGTGAATCCGAAGGGCGCTGTGGTGCATCTTTCCAAGAACTGTGAGCATGTGAACTATGGTCGCTGCAAAGAGCTAGGCGTTTGTCTGGATTGTATCGATCGTTTGAAGCGAGATGATCCCTCTAGCTCGAGACCGGCAGCTACGCAGAGTTCAGCTACGCAGTCTACGTCCTCCTTTTTTTGGTCGTCGCCGCCGGACTTCCATGAGGGGGTAAAGGATTTTGGCACCGCGGAGGGAGGCAGTTATCTAAGGGCTCCTGGAGTGGTTGTGCGAAGGTACGCAGCTCGCAACAGGGCCGCTAGAGTCAGAGGGAGGTCAGCCTCCCCCTAGAGGGTGATTTTGGGTCCTTGATGGGGGCCTTTCAACCTCCCTAATATCTGCACTGAGGGAGACCTCAATAATTACACGGCAGACCTACCTCGCCTATTGGCTGAGGAACAACCTCCTTTTCAATAGGCGAGGCCTGCCACAATCAAGGATAACCCTTTTGCAAGTCCGTGTTATCCAGGATGGTTTCACTTGAGGCTCGGCCTCAGTTATATGAGCAAGCCTTCCCACCTCGCCTAGGGCCGAGTCACCAGTGCCAGCCGTTGAGGTGGGTTAAGGACAATTTGCATGCAAGTGGGGTATGACCTCCACAATGCTGGAGCTCAAGGCTCCCTGCCTCCTCGCCAATGGGCTGAGGACGCTTGCATTCCAACAGTAAGAGGTGAGGTAGGTACCAGCAAGACCAACCCTTTTGGTTGGTATGCCCTCTAGGCCTCTGGGAGCAGCTAGGGTGAAGCGGGGCGGGACAGCTCCAGGCGGACGTGTGCTTAACCTGGACTTGTCCTGGCTGGCGAGGCACCACCTAGTATGGGACTCTCACCCTTGGGGTGGAGATCCCCTCACCTACTCACCTACGCACAGCTGGGTTAAGCAGAGCCAACCTATTGCACGCAGGCGTGCAACCAGCCTGCTCTGCCCACCCCAGCTACACTTGCCTCAGCCCAGAGGCGAGGTGAGTATCTGTGGGAGCGATAGGGTTTGGTGCTGACCCTATCTTTGAGCCTCACCTGCTGCTGAGTGGGAAAGTGTCATCCATATCTCAGCCCTGTGGCGAGATAAGGCTTTGCCCAGTTTGGACTGTTGAGGTCGAACCTCATTGAGGGTTGTCCCAGGACTGAGTTACAAGCTAGGCACTACCTCGCCCAAAGAGGCATGAGGGTAAAATGGTGGCTCGGCCACCCTTTCGACCTCCCCTGGGAGAAGATCAGCAAACGCTGATTAATTAATGCATGGGACTAACCTAAGGCCATCGGCCGCGTCTAGTGCGCTAGGGAAGGATTTTGGCACCATGTGGCAGAGTGTGGAAGTCCCGACTCCTGTGAAAGCCATTAGTGAGTTTTTGTTGGTTGTGCTTTGAGTTTACCAGCAGCAGCAGACACGAAGCCAGTTTGAAAGAGTTTTTGCATGCGAGTGAGATTTTCCATGTGTTTTGACCATGTCGGAGACATGTTGCTAGTCTTACCTGAGAGATCTCGTGATTTCATGTTGAGTTGTTGGTTGAGACTGCTGTGAAACTGGGTGAAAACTAGCCTTTGGGTAAGCTTCGACTTGGTGTTGAAACTTTTCGCTGCTCGGGCCCTGGCAAGGTTCTACCTGGCCGCGGAGAAAGACATAGGCCTCGACAAGAGCACCGTTGAAGGCCGGCGGCCGTGCGCAGATTGCAGCCATTGTAGTAGCATGGGAGGCTGCCCGTGACTATGATCAGAAGGAACATGAGCTTCGTGCAGAAGCACGCGTTCTGGGGCAGAAGCGCATCCTCCAGGTGCAAGAGAGGCAGTCCATGTTGCGTGCTGTCACTTCAGTGCATGGTAAGTTGAATGAGTCAGAGACACCATCGAATGAGTATTTGTCGGCAAAGGCAGAGCAGTGTGAGTCTAACGGGCCTCTTGCTGCTGCATTGGACATGATAAGCTCCCGCAAAGACTAGCAAGTAGAAGCCATTCAGTCAACCGTCGATCCCACCGGCCTCGTCCGGGTCACAAAGACCCTGTCCAAGCAAGAAATGCCGCGCAATAGTGAAGCGTACAGGCGCGTACTCAAGGTGGAGGCCTTTGCTTGGTTGTGCATGGCTGCCAGGTATAAAGCCAAACCTTTCTTGCAAGGTCTCAAGCTGGAATCCTTCACCAAGTTCGTGGATTTCATATTGGGGGATAAGGTAGCCAACCTGCGCCTGCCCTCGAGCAGTGGCAAAGAGCAGTTTCCACCACGCCCCCCATGGACGATCGTACTAGCCTTCGAATACAAGCTGCGCGCCGAGGCAATGCGTATGGTCGTAGAAGACGGCGAGACAATTGCCGGAGCCTTGGAAAAGGTCGTCAAAGATCCATCTCTGAAGGAGACTTACTTTACCACGCCTTTGGCCCTCCATGCAGCCGAGCAGCCTAGCAAGTACCGCAAAGGAGGGGGCAAGCTAAAAGGGGGCGTTCCTCCTCCTCCTGCACCGTATAATGGCAGAAAAGGGCGTGGAAAGGGAGGCAAGCAGTTTGCCACACAAGCCTGTCGCCATGACTCCCGATGGCAAGCAAATCTGCTTCGCTTACAATCACAGCAAGGCGGTTGACAGCCAGGGGTCCTGGGAGGCGAAACTTCGGAATCGGGCCAAGCCCCTTTTGCAGTCGTGTATGCCTTCGCAGGACCCACCAGACACTGTGACATCCGCTCATGTCTGGAGAAACTTGTGCCTAACATCGTTGTTCGAGAGTTCGACATTTGTCGTGACGACAAACATGATCTTGCCCAAGCAAACGTCTGGGAGGAGATCTATGCAGTGCTGGCTAAGCCTAACACTGTTTTCATCACAAGCCCTCCGTGTAATACACATAGCCGGGCTAGACATAGGAAGCCGGGCCCTCAGCCGCTCCGAAGCTCGGTGTGGCCGCGGGGCTTCCCATGGTTAACACCGCCCAAGGCGGCCGCTGTCGAAGCACAAACTATATGATAGACTGTAGTATCAAGGCATCCATCATTGCCGCTGAGCATGGAAACCAGTTCTTGTGGGAGCACCCAGAACACCTGGGACTAGCCGCAGATGGGCTGGGGCTGGTGCCCGCCTCAATTTGGGAGCTACCTGAGCTCCTGGATGTGCTGGCTAGGTTCCATGCCATCACTTTTGCATTGTTTCAGTGCCAATACGGGGCACCAACTAGCAAGCCTACCCGATTCCTCACAAGCCTCTCTGCATACCTTTCATCTCCGCCCCATTGTTCAGGACTTCCACGTCTGGATGCACAAGGCCGGTACTTGGGCCTCTTGCCCAAGGAGAAGCTGTAACCAAGCGAGACCCTTTGAAAAAGGGGGAACTGGAGGCCTTGCGTAAACTGCTCCCCTTAGAGGTTGCCCCTAGGGGGCAAGATGGAGGCGAGGCTACGGCTTTCGTCTCAGGTGCATATTGCAAAGGGGGCTTAGTGGGTCTAAGGAAGAACACGTCCAGTATGCCGCACGTCTGCCGCGCCTTGACTCGGTGTGTGGATCAGGTGCAACCAGGTTTCATCTCCAGTGCCGTGGCTTTGTTTCAAGGGGTAAAGACCCCTGTGCATAAGGATAGTCGCAATGCCCCTTTCCCCAACCTAGTCACTCCGGTGGGGCGGTTCTCTGGCGGAGCCATATGGATTGAGGACCCCGAAGGGTGCATCCCGGAGACGAGGCATAAGAATGGGGAGTGACTTAGAGGTTGATAAAGGCGCTGTTGTCTAATCCTTCCACTTCACTCGGGCTTGGAAGGGAAATCGTCTGGTCCTAGTTGCATACACCACGCATCAGATGCCGGCCTCCTGCAGGAACTTGGTTTCAGGCTTCCTCCCGCCGGGGGTGAGACATCCGAGGCCATGGTGGGAAAGAAAAGGGTCCAAGCACCGATAGAGCCTTTCCACCCGGAATGGTGCGGCAACAGGGGTTTGCCTGTTTTGGTGGAGTGGGAAAATCATTCTGAAGTGTTCACCGATTGGCTTCGGGCTGTGCTCGCCCACGCGGTGGCGGCCTGGCGATAGGGGGGCCCGTAGTCTGTGCCACTCACTTCACCAGCTCGGCCTTGACGCATGTCAAGAATCCCCGAGCCATGTGTCAAAGCTTGGAAAGCGGGGAGTTGGAAGAAAGTCCGTTCAGCGAGGAAGCTCTGTCGCGTTTGCGGCAGAGGTGGTGCCTCCTAGTGGGAGGCCCTGACTGGAACATCTGGCGGAGGTGCAACCTGGGCAGCCCTTCTTTTTGAGAGCTTTGGCCAAGACGGCTGAGATCATGGGCGGGGTCTTATGATCATAAGACTACGTGGAGGAAATTAGATGAGGACCTCCCGGAGTGGGATAGACCCAATTATAGTAGTGCCTCCCTAAATTCGCAACAACTACTAGAAAAGTTCAGGGATGAAGAACGATTGGGGCGTATGGCTTCAACCACCCTGGGAGCACTCAAGCAGGAATATGCCGAAGATCAGATCAGGGTGGCCTCGATGGGGGCAATCCGCAAGCCAGACGGCAGTGTGCGTCCAGTGCACGATGGCACGCACGGTGTGCGCGTGAATCAGGAGATACAGCAGCTCAACTTGTTAGCAGTTCTAGGACCGGCCGAGGTAGCGTGGATGGTGCGGCAGGCGCACGAGCAGAAGGAGCCACCTTTTGCCATCACTGGAGACGTGGCGGCTGCGCACCGCTTGGTACGGATAAGAAGGCAAGACTGGAGCCTTCTTGCCTGCAGAGCAGAGAGCGAGAGCCCCACCTTGTTCATAAACAAGGTGGGGACGTTCGGCATATCGTCCGCATCCCTGTGGTGGAGCCGCCTCTTTGGGATCGTGGGCCGCATGGTTGGACGTGCCATGTTGAATCGTTTCCTTTACCAGTTCGCCTTCGTGGATGACCTTCATGCAAACTTCTTTGGCCCGCGGAAGCATGTCAATGCATTGCTTTGGTTGGTCCTGTACCTCATGGTGGGGACACCATTCGCTTGGAAGAAGTTTAAAGGGGGTTTAAGGGTGGCCTTTATAGGATATGAGTTAGACTATGGCACCTTCCGAGTGGGGATGTCGGATGCCCGGTCGGCTCCCAGACACGGTGATTCTCACCCTCATCTACATTGAGGACACCTTTGCCGAGATGGGATATAAGGTTTCCCCTCTTAGGGTTTCTAAGTCTTCACAGCCGGCCTTCTTCACGGACGCAAAGTGTGAAGATGGGCTAGTGGTCTTAGGGGGCTGGGAGTCATTAGGCCCAGTAGGTAGTGCCCGCTGGTTTTCCCTTACACTTAGTCCTGAGGAAGCACCCTACTTGTTTGATGAAGAAAACCGCTCTCAGTGGGCTTCTGCGTCAGCAGAGTTGCTAGCCACACTAGCCGCGCTATTTCTGTTCGGACATTTGGAACCGGCCGCTCGCCTGAGACACTTCCCGGTTGTTGTTCCCGCAGTGACTGATAACAGGGGAAACGAGTCCCTGGCTCGCAAACAGAGCACCACCAAGTGGCCACTCATGCTCATCAACATTCAACTCTCGCACTTGTTGATGAAGGCCATGCTGAAGCTTGATCTGCAATGGCGTCCCCGTGAAGAAAACCAAGACGCGGATGACTTGACAAATCAGAGGTTCCAGAACTTTGATCCTGATAAGAGGGTTGATTGTAAGGCTTGTGAGTTGCCTCTTGGCTTGTTAAACAAGCTTTGGCTAACTAAGAACCAGTTTGACAGCCTTCGTCGTCAAATGACGTCCTCAGTTGAGCAGAGCTCAGGCGGCCGCAAGAGGCCACACGAAAAATCAGCGTGGTAGCGCTCACAAGATGTGAGATGGGGTGAAAGGTGCAACCACACAGGTTCTCGTTTGGCCCCCAGAGACGCTTACCACCAATCCGTGAAAAAGAAGGTCTGTCCGCGTGTGATTGAGTTACCTATCTGATTCTTCTTGTTTAGTTCGGCGATGATTTGAATATTATGACGTTTAAATTTGAAGGAAAGATTTGAGAGGATTCCACTTTACGGAAGAAGATATATTGATTGAGTTTTGTATGGATCCCCAAAACCCATTGAACCATAACCCGGGAAACAGGTGATGAGGTGCGACTGCATCAATTGAAGCGTTTAGGACACATCTTAAGGAGGGTCCAGGACAATCCAGCGAGAATAGTTTCTTTCGATAGATTTTTGCAGCCGTGTATCTGGGGTGGGCCCTACAGGCCGGGAAACAGGCGATGTAAATGGACGGAGCAAATGCTTGCCGTGGCGATGACCATTTTTAACGACCATTTCTTTCGGGGGGGTGGGAGCGACAGAGACATCAAACGTAAATTATTAGAAGTGGCCGCAGACAGGACGTGGTGGTCCTCAGTGCTAGGCGCTACTAGACAGATTTGGCGTCGCCAAAGGGTTGCGAGCGAGAGCGCCCAAGGCGGTTAAAAAAAACAAAATCTTGAAGTTCTTGACAATATTCTCGATTACAACGTCCAGAACACATTTCCAGAATTTGTTGAGTCTTGGACAAACTTTCCAACAACAACCAGAATCCAGCGTTGCAACTAAACCTAACGGGAAGGAAACGAAGATGCTCAATTGGACCCAACAAAGCCATGCATCCTAGCGGACGTTGCGAGCATTCAATGGCAAAGGTTCGTTGATCATTGGTAATTAGGCCCTGTGATGGTATGTTGTCAATGGACATTACAACCGTGATGATTTGCTGCATGCTCGAAGCTGCTTGTTTGAAGAGACGAAAAAGCTGCAAGCCACCGCAGTGCATGATAAGGCTGCATTGTGTGCGTATTGCTTCACCGCACTCACGTGCCAATTTGTTGTGCATCAAGCTTGTAGACATGTAGGCATGGAGAATTGAGCCACACTTGTGTTTCAAGAAACGCAAGGACTCCACCGTTCGACTGCTGAGCAGACTACATACCAACGCAGAGATTTCTATCAAGCGTGCGTGTGTGCGGATTCAACGCAGTATTAAAATTCATTTACGCTTATCGAGCATGTCATATGGCTTGGTGTCGGGTTGGGATGAGGACTGCCCTCTGCACTGGCCGTAAACTAATCATTTGAGTTGCCGTTGCTGCAAAGGACATATTTGGCGATGGCCGGGGCAACTTGCCGCTACCATTTTCCGGGAGTGCAAAAGCCAAGGATGCCTTGCAGATGATGTGTGAGTGACTGTGCTTTCGTTGCATGTGGTTGCAGGGCTTGAGCAGCGCAACTTTGTCCAAAGCTTCCGAATTGTGGATAGCTCAGTCCGTTGTTGGAACGCTGCGGCCGTGAACGGCCAAGATTGTGTTATCAAACGCGATGTTGGTGTATTCAAGGTTGTGGCGTGCGTCTGATGCTTCACGACTGGCACATGTATCCGCCGGGTTTTCAATGTTGCTCTGCTTCTTTGTCCATGGTTTGATACAGTTATGTGTTCTGAGGTTGCCTTAGACGTCTCCGAGGCCGATGCAGAGAACCCCATTTTGTAGACAAAAAACATGTTGCTGTTGTCAAAGCAGGATGCTGATGATCCAGTTGCCCCGCTGTCGGCAACTCATTCGGTTGCTGCTACATCCAGAATGTCTGTTGATAGTTCCAGCATTGACATGTGCTGCCAAAGGCTTGCGCAGCCCCATGCCACAAACAACGAAGACAAGGCTTCAGCCTCATCAGGTACTTTGTACGTACACGTGTCATGACAGGGTGTCGTTTTGATGCTGTGGTCAAAAAGCTTTGCAGCCCTGGTCTCTACAGGCTGTTGCAGCGACTTCAGTCACCCTGGACAAGGTGCTGATGGGTTCCGCGAGTTAAGACTAAAATCCTGAGTTTGGCTCCCGATAACAGCTTCCAGATCTGGGACTGCCAGCCACAGGTTGCCAAATGGGAGCACCATCCACGCTTGGTCCACGCTTTACTAAGTTTATATAAATGGGAACACAATGCGAGTCATTGGGGAAGGACACGCTTGGAGACGTGAGCTGTGTTGGGTCACACAGAAACAGGATCAATTTGCAGTGGCAAAACTTTTCCCAAGTTGATGCAAGCAAAGCCTATTTTAAACATTTTTGGTATGCTTCCACCAGCACGTGCAAAATCGAGTTGATCAGTCCCCAAAGCCGACTATGCCATGGCAACCCTACGTTCTCAAATACCTTAGAAAACAAAAAGGGGACTGGATAAACAATCCTGTAAGCATGTGAGGCAAGACGTGAACCCGCCAATGCTGCTCAGCTAGGCTTGGGTGCTCCACTTTTTGCCTTTTCACTCTCAGCTCGTTCCCCTGCCTGCTGCAGAGCGTGCGGTCCGTTCAGTTTTGCATGATGTTTCACAGGTTCTTCGCGCGCATCTGCTTGCGCGGGGTTGCTGGCCATGCCTGTTGCAGATGCCTCAAGTTTTGTTCTCACAGTCTCCAAGTTCGGCTAAAACACCTGCAACGACTGCATGGGCGCTTGACCTGTAAGCCGGATTCAACCCAACAAATGAAGGACAACCTTGAGCCCTAGTGAACTACTCATGTGGAACCTTTAAATCATTTAAAGCACTGGTGTCCGCATGAGGATGTGTTTGATACCAGTTTTTGATGTGCGTATTCGGAATAGGATTCTTTTTTGAAGTAGCCCCAGACGTGGTTGAGTTCTTGGTGCAGATTTCCAGTCACCTGGGATGAAGAGAAGACCTTTTGCGCTTCAAAGAGCTGCTGTTTGTCTTAATGTCTTGATGCGATGTATTTGGTGGTTTCTGCTTGCAGAATGTTGGCCAAGGTTGGCCACGATGGCTCTTCGCGCATTCGACTTGTGCGTGAACTTCTAAGTTTCTGTGCAGCTGCCGCAGTGTCTTCATCACGCTGTGTGTGCGAGGTCTGGTTCAGCAGACGGAGGCATCTGAATTCGAGGATTGTCTGTGGGACTCGATGGCACGTGACTACTTCAAGAGCCATGAAGCCAGGATGGATTGAGATCAGAGATTCCTGTTGGCGAGGTGCCATTTTGCAGTTCGATGGTCTGCAAACCTTGAAGCATAAGCTCGTTGATTCAGGCGCTCCTGGAGGCACAGCTGGACTCCGGTCTGTCGGCATCGACGCTGCTTGGTGAGAATACTCTGCTGCAATGCTCGTGCTTGAGTGGTTGCATGGTAGTCATGTGTGTGGTGAGGTCATCATCTGCAGTGCCTGAAGGCCAAGAGGGTTCAGAATTTGGAGTCTATGGAAGGCTTCGCAGGGAAACAAACACCTGTCTTGTTTGTGAGGTGCTCCACCCTTGTTGAGACCTTCGGCTGCTGATCCCAAGGCCACGTCCAATAAGTCTCCAGACGACTCTCCTCCCTGATGATCGAGTCAAAATGACTGCTTTATGACAAAGAGTTGTTTGTCTTCTCATGGGAGACTTGATGTTGGGGGGGCAAAGGTTGCACATCAGTGCCAAAGCATTGTATAGACCAGAAAGCTTCAACTCCACACCCTCAATGGTCATCTCGAAATCTTCCACTTTCAACCATCAACCCTCAGCCCACATCCCTCCTCCAGCAATAAGCCCTTATCAATCAAAGCCTCGATACTAAGCTGCTAAACTCTCAAACCCTGAAGCAAAAAAACCAAAAAAGAAACATCCCTGTACATAAGGACAATTTAGAAATAACTCCATACTGCAAAAGATCCAGCAATCTTGTGCGCCACCTTTTTTGAATTAGAGTCCGCCTTGAGCCCTCAGCGAAGTAAAGCCTTGCAGGCTGTCTGGCTTGTCACCAGGGTCACGGGGGGTGTTTCCAAAGGTCAAAGGTCCCTTTTTGGGGCGTGGCCATATTGAATTGTTGGGAACCCTCAACCCAAACCAGCAAGGATGACCCTGAAGCTCAACGCTTAACTCTAAGTTTTAAACCCCATGCCCTCAAGACTAAAACCCTCAGCTCTCGACCCTCAACCTCACCCCAAACCCCTACCCCCTATCTTCGCCATGTAAACTCTAAACCCTCAACTCGCAGCCGTCAACCCCCCAAAACCCTTACCTCCGACTTAAACCTTCAAGCCTCAGACCTACTCCTTTGCTCTCAACTTCTAACCTCAAGCCCTCAGGGCCCAACAACCCGAACCTACACGCACAACCCTGAACACTTATCTGCAAACCCTGAGCCAACCCTCAACCTCACACCTTGAAGATGCTCAATCTTCAATCCTTCATCCTAAACTTCCAACAGCGAACTCTAATCACCAATGATCAGCTTCCAACCCTGGACTCCCGACTGTCCCGACTTGAAGCTTTTGAAGTACTCAACCCTAAAACGGAAACCGTCCAATTGTGGAGTTCCCATTGGGTTTCTTTGAGCCACTGCGGCGTGCGTCTACATGTTTGATGCACAAGGATTGTGTTCGACTGGACGATGCAGCTCTAAGAAATCCAGCATCTTCAAGTTGTCCAAGATAGTAGGGATGCTACGGCCGCAGAGGAGCGCGAGATGAGCGACAGGGTAGCCATGGATGCTGAGGAATAAGCGCAACCCACAGCCACGTTGGACGATCCTTAGACCTGATGCCTCTCACCGAGAATCAGCCAGGATGGCTTAGGCGCATGCGGGATGGCCTTTCATTATCCGCGAAAGACAACGGCCCTCTGTTTCTAGAGGCATGTCCCGGTCGACAGGAGTTGTGGGCGTAACCCCATCTGTTGGCGGTGATTCTCCGTTTTACGAAATGAAAGGCAGAGAGAAATGATGGAGTTCTGCGAGGCAAGGGGGTGGGCCAGCGAGTTCAATTGCAAAGACCCACCACTGCAGGTGGAAAGCCACCTGCCGGAAAACCTTGCCCTGTGCAGCCTGAACCCTCAACCCCTAAACCTGGAAGCTTCAAACATGAGCCGTCAACGTTTTTGCTGAAGTGGATCGCGTTCGCTGGACTTAAAGGCAAACAACAACTCCAGGAAAGACCGGGACATGCTTCATGAAGAAGGAATTCAGAAAAGGTCTGCAGCAGAGGAGGATTCAAAGCAAGGCGGCAAAGGCACAGCTGGAGAAGGCCGACTATGCTGATTGAAGGATCCCCAGGCTTACTGCAGGGCACTTTCAGCCAGGAAAAAGTCCCATAGCCATAAAGCAGTCCCCTTGCCTCTTGAAGCGCAGGTACTCCTCGAGAGGTACATCCAGTTGGCAGGCTCATGTTTTGGCGCCGATGGCGCTGATGCAACGCACTCAGAACATTTTCCGAGCAAACAATATTCAGAATTAGGTACATGCTATTCTTACACATTTCTACAAGATACGTCTATATGAGTTGGCCCCTTGGGGGACATCAAGGACTTCGAGCTTCTCAAGGCCCTCTTTGACGCCGGAGGCTGCTTGTTTGCTGGTTCAGATGCTGTGTCTAGTGCATGCATTTGTTTGTTGCTGTCACGTTTTCTGCTGCCATGATGTTTTGGTTATCCATTCTGCGACTATGGTTGCTACTCTCAAAACACCGACCGGTACATGTTGTTTTTTTGCCATCCTTTTTGTGCTGACTTTTTGAATTTACACAGCGCGGCATACACTCATCGCCGCAATCCTGAACTGCTCAGCAGTCTGATTTTTTTGGGTCCTCATGTTCCAGGGATTTGGCGATTTAGGGTTGGATCTAGATAAAACGGGACGCATCAAATTATTTTCAGGAACTTTCATTAGGGCTTCGCCACTATTTCTGGCAGATTCACTAGTACAACCAAGAGCTGCGAGGCAAACGGCAGGTCTGGAGCTCGTGCGTCTTCAAGGGTTTGTACCACTTGCTGGTCACAGTCGAGGAGGTTGTGGAAACAATGTCGCAGTGATCAGCTGTTATAGTAATTTTGCGGAAGCCATAGGTAATAAATTTTGTAGACGGTACTTGTGGAACTGTGTTGCTCACAACAGCCCTGAGGTCATGCACAGACTGAGTGCGTGGCTTGCCCGTGTCAATAGGCGAGGGGCTTGCGCGCTCTGGTATGGAGTGGTTCAGTTTGCGTTACATGTCGGTCTTGCTGCTTTTTTTTCGAGATTGTCTTTGTGAACGAACATGCTGCATTTCTGGCTACATGTGTTTGCTATTCCGTGTGTGGCTCGCTGCAGGAGAACTGTGGACAAGCACTTGCGGGGGTCCGTGGCCTAGCACATCCATCGAAGAAATTCATATTTTTGTCCATTCACCACTGCGGTGACAATTGGCATGAGGATGCATATGGTTGAAGTTTTGCAGCTAGGTCACGAATGACTTCAGTTGTACTTGCTTTGTTGGCTTCACATCACGCTATGTAGTACTAACCCAGTCTCAAGCCAAACCGTATGAACGGTCTAAAAGTCTACGTGTTGGAGGCAGCTCGCATCCGAACCTCGTGCCAGTCCGCGTGGAATTGAGGTGCGCAATGCGCACAACTTTTTTCTTCCTCGATCGAAAAAGAGGCATTGATCGACTGGTCCGAGGCAGCTTTTCATCATCTAACCGCAAACTCCCCGCGCCGAGCCTTGCGTGCGCTGCAAGAAGCAGCAGGATCAGGCCTGCACATAAATTTTCTTGCTGCTGCAAACTTTGAACGGTTCACTGCAATGGTGTCGATGCTCAGGACCACACTTTGATCGCTTGGCAGCAGTCAGCTTCTCAACGTAGCTTTGAGGAGCTTGCTTGCAAACAAATTTCCTTCGAGCTCATTCAGATTCTTGCTGCTTGCGGTGGTTCTCCGGTTCCTGGTCGCGAGCAGCGTCGATGGCTTCGGTGCGCTGCCGCCATAAATGACTCCACAAATATTAAAGCATGTCGCTGCAAGGAAGCAAGTTGAAGACTGGAGGCGGCAAAGAGTGTGCCTAGTTTGCATCAGAAGGCCGAGTCAACCCAGTCACATTTCGCAGTCACTGCGTGGTTTGACAAGGCAAGAGCTCATGGGGTCAGACCTTTGGCGTCTCTACAGCTTGCTTGCGGGTGATACCCAGGTAGGCAAGCCATCTCGATCTCAGAACCTGAGCTCGGAAGTTGTGACCAGCAGGTAGCTTGCGACGCGCTGGACTGGCGTACTGCGTTTGGGGTCTTTTTCTGGTATGGGCAGTCAGAAGAGGACTGCCGCGGAATATCATGATTTTCGATTCAGCACTTGTGCCGTTTTGCAGAAGGATGTCCATGCCGGGACAGGCGTCGTGGCAGCAAGCATGTGATTGATAATCGACAAGTCGCTCAAATTGTTCATTGCTCCTTGTCCAGCAGTTGCGCTGCCAGAGTGCAAAGGCACCTGCGAACACGCTCTGGAACGTGTGGTCCAATCCTTTGTAGCTGCGGGCTCAGATATGCTTGCTTCAGGGGTTGGTGTAGCAAGTCAAGACCCGATACTGGTCGGAAGTTGCGTCTGGACGTTGGCACCAAGAGACCCACACAGAAACACAGGTCACGCAAGCTGTTTGCCATGGTCACTGACATGATGTGTCTGATCAGGCAAAGCAGACAAGCTCCTCCCGAGTCCGTCCGGTCGACATCTTACGGACTCTTCCCGATTGCCAGTATGTATTTCAGAATCCTCATTGGGCAAAATTGAAAAGCTTCCCCTTTGTAACAACCCAGCATCGAAGCACGGCACTATTCTTTTAATCGCGAGACGAGAAAAATGCATGTGCCTGCTTCATCGATCCATTGATGGTGTTCTGACTGCAACTCTGAGGATTCTGATCATGTTTACGACCATGAGTCTGTTCATTCATATGCAAGTGGAGTCAGTCGAATTTGTTCGGGTGATCAGCGAGGTGCCAGCTTACGCTCTCCAAGATCGTCCTGAGCAAAGGCATGGGGATGATTGTTGCCTTCATAGACTCTTCCAGTCGCTTTGCAAGGATATCGCGTTCGGCGGAACCCATGGTTTTCAAAGCTGGCAAGGAAGAGCCTACAGCGTTGCAGCTGGATCCTTTGTCATCTCCGGAGTCCTTCAGCAGAAGATTGTTGAGTGTGATTTTTATGAGGTTCCGTGCAATTCAGATGGCTGCCGGATGCTTAAGTGCCTGTGACATGAGCAGCTTCGACTACATGACACACTCGCCTGGTGCCGAGATTCATACATGCCCCTACTGTCCATCAAGTTGTTTTGGGTTTCATTTGCATATGCTGTTTGAGGAAGAGTCCTCAAAATGTTGCATTATCGTGGCATTTTGTTGCCAGACTCCAAGTCCAGGATTTGATGCTCATTGTTTTTGCTTCTGCTCGCCTCTTTCCAAGGTCGTTTTGCTGGCATTGTTGGGTTGGCTACCGAGCATGCCAAGTTTAATTCCGTTGGTCTTCACTTGCTGTTTGTGCTGGAGTTTCTGGGGTATCTTTGCTTGCGAATGCTCCCTTAGGCGAAGCTGATGGTGCAGCCCATTTTGATGGAGAATCTTTCCAGCGCTTGACACAGCAGTGTTGGACTGAGTTACCACACTGCTGAGGCTGACTCCAACCTTTTCTGTTGCTTGGCCAGGTATGCGCAGCTGCTAGAACAGCAAGGAAAGGATGAATGGGTTGCAATCTCATCCTGCAGTATGGACAGACATGTCAGCATTGCTTTGGCACGACAGCTGTAAGTTTGCCCTTACATTGAATCAGGCAGTGTATGTCGCTCACTTTGTCAGCGAAGACAGGGCCCGCGCTGCCATGGCCGACGCCTGAGTTGTACCATGTGGCATCATGTTCCCTTGTCTGAAAGTCAAGTCTTTTTCTCTGTTTTTTAGGACGATACGCATTCTAGTAGGTTGTGCTACATGGGGACGAGATCCCATTTCAGAACGGTCTTTCTGTTGAACTGCGAGCTTCAGTCAGAGCATGCCAACTGCCATTGATCTCAGCATCAGGTGCGGCGTTTGCTCATAACTCAGGCCAAGGCCGATCAGACAGGATGCCAACAGCCATTGATGGATGCCACAAGCAGTAGTTTTAGTAGTCGTGGTAGTAGTGGTAGCAGTAGTAGTCGTAGTAGCAGTAGTAGGAATAGTAGCACCAGTAGTAGTACAGTGGTAGTATTACGGCAAATCATGTGTGTCAGGCAACTCAGTGGGATTTTGGGAAGGAGGCCGGCTGTCGCGGAGCCCTAGAGCTCCAAATGGGAGTTTGCAAACATGTGGGGTCCTCCTTTGGGATTGTCAAGTCTACATCTATATATATATATACATTTGTTTTGTCCTCATTTTTAAGTACTCAAGTCTCTGATCCTCACCCCTTCAAGCTTTGATTGCCGAAGGTGAGGCCGCGCTGGCCAAGCCTGCCTCCGTCTGGGCAGCGCGCACAGCCTTCGCCTGCATGACTTTTTGTAAGATGTTCTTCTCACCATTGGTACTACATGTGGGGATTTTTTTTTGGGGGTGGCCTCCTCCTTTGGGATTATCATTGGACTCTTCTGAGAAACTGCCAGATTGACCGAGGCTTTGGCATGCCAGGGCTCTCGCCTGCGAGCAGGCGAGTGCCTCAAAAGTCTGGATCCTCACACGATATGGGGTTTTCAAGAAAAGGAGTAATTTGGGGGTCTTTCGAGCAAGAGTATTGTTGGGTCTTTATTTGGTTTCCGAATGTCAGGAAACTACTCACATATTCCCAGTGTACCGGGAGTCGTGCACAGGGGACACAAATGTTGAGTACCCATGGTTTGGTTTAATGTCTATGTTGCCCACACTCCGTATGTGCCTGTACCACATCCGTCACTTCAGCGAGCAGGGCTTTGCTTTTTTGGGAGTAGGGTCTGGGATGTAGGCTTCAGGAATTCTGGCTGTCGCAGTTGTGAGAATTCGGTTTTAGGAGTTTTTTTCCCGGAATGCGCAGCAAAAGGGTTCTCGTTTTGAGGTGACGCGAAATTCGTGCGGAGCGTTCGCAAGCGCCGCGGTGTGTCCGCAAGCGTTCGCAAGCGTTCGCCGTGTGTCCGCAAGCGTCCGCGGCCGAAAATTGTCGCGAAACGCAGAACTGCCGTCACTTTTGGACTCGCTTTGGGTCTCCGCCTCGTCAACAGTCACGGGGATTGGGGGGGTCCTGGTCGCGAACCGCAGAACTGTCGACTTTTGGACTCGTGTCGGATCTTCGTGTCTCAAGTCAAAAGTGTCAACGGTCACGGGGATCAGAGGGGTCCTGGTCGCGAACCGCAGAACTGTCGTCACTTTTGGACTCGTGTCGGGTCTCCGCGTCTCAAAAGTGTCAACAGTCAGAGGGATCGGGGGGGGTCCTGGTCGCAAACCGCAGAATTGTCGCCACTTTTGGTCTCGGTCGCGAAACGCAGAAGAGAGGAGAGAGGAGA